TCGTTTGTACACCGTCGCCGAGTGTCTGCGCACGACGGATATATTCAATATTTTCTGCAAAGATATAAATAAATTCTTATTTTCATATTGTAACATGAATAATTACAAATTGCATAATTTTTATCTACATTTATAACTTACCACAGTATAGTGTCTTCCGAACTACCTTCATGCGTTATAGGCGATGTCCAGTCATCGATCAATCATCAGTCATCAATCATCAATCATCAATCATCAGTCATCAGTTTTTATCTATCTAATAATTAATAAAATGTTTTTTTATTAATTTTACGCTTTTCCAATATAACCTCAAACTTTGGAATAGATTAATTTTATGAAAAGGAATCCAATGTTTAGACCAAAAATATTAAAATAAATACATTTAAAATTACTATTACTAACTTCATTTTATGTTTTGTACAATTATTTATGACAAATAAAAAGGATTACCTGGAATTACCTTTCAATAAAATTATAATTTTTCCGTCAACTTTCTTCCACCATGCGGGATCAGTGCTGTGCTGCTGTGAGACAATTGTTTGATCTATAATTCTTTGAGATTCGGCCAATTATTTCCCGAAAAATTAAAAAAATTAAAAAAAACCGATTTCCAGGAAATCGGTAACAAAAAATATACACATAGTGGTACTCCCCGGAAAATTCTACCCTTATTTCATATACTTTTGGTAAAAATTCGGTTCAGGGGCTGGGCGTTGATGAGTGAATGAGTGAGTGAGTGAGTCAGTCAGTCAGGACATCTTCCTTTATATATATAGATATATAATATATATTTTATTTTACATACAATGTGCAAAATTCTTTTATCATTTTCTTTTAGTATATATTATATTACTCATGTATTACTTATACATTTTATATATTTCTTTGTATTTTGTTCCTAACATATAACATTAAAACAGAATTTATATGCAAAAGTTTTGCTAAAATTTGTCTAATTATTTCTTTTGCCAATAAATTCCTTTTTCCAATTGATTCATTCCTGATTCGACATATTAGAATTTGTGATAATAACGCTTCTTTTTCATCATCAATTTCATTCCACTAAACAAATTGGTGTTAAAAACAATTATTTTTGTAATATAAAGTTTGAAATAATAAATGATCGGGAATTAATGATATAGAATTAATTTCTGATAAATCAAACGCCTTCATTTTGATAACAAAATAATTAATACTAAGTTATGACAGTAATAACGTGGACGTCAGTACGTAAATTATAAATCATAAATTGAATTTGAAAGGTATTCTGGAGAATTAGTCAAAATATAACAAAGTTCATGAAAATTTATTATCATATTTTGTATTCTGTTTCAACGATCGGGGCCAAGTTTCAAATCGATTAACATTTTAGATAAAAAGTTATAAATCCTTGAATATCCGTCTTATAAAGGGATTTACAGAAAAATGTGAACATTAAAAAATGTTACCAATATAATAATATTTTACACACAAGTAAATCAACAAACAAAAATATAGCAACAAAATTTGAAATAATTTACAATTTAAAAAAAAATTTTTTTAATAGTAACAGTTATTTACAGTTACTACATCTACGTTTTTCACACTCTATTAGATGTACCGTAACTATTCATATATATTTTATTGTCTTTGGATCCTTGGAGAAAATCCATTAATATTAATGTTTTTAATATTTTCTGCATAATTTTGGTTGGAACGGTATCTCCAGAACATCCTTAATTACCAAACTTAATTACCATCAAAATACATTAGTATATTATTAAAAAATATATAGATTAATCAATCCATAGTTGCTTTCTAATAGAAAGTTGGTTTAAAATTGACTACATGTTTATAATCATATAATTAAGAAAACAGAAGAATGCACATTAAAAACGTAAAAAAATTACGAAGAATGGTAAGTTTTTAATAAAAGATGGTATAACATTACATTGTCGACTTGTAATTCGTATTAAACAGAGTTGATGTCAGTTAGTCGTATATACACAGTCTTTTTCATTTTGTGACAAATCGACAATGAAATTATAGATATGTTCGAAGTGCACACTTTGAGTGGCTGTAACTTTTGAAATATTAATCGTAGCGCTTTGGACTATAATAGTCTTCGATAGAACGCGATCAGAACTTCTGCGAAAACTGCCGATTTCCGAAGAAAAATTACTCCTCGGGACTTAGACTATTTTCGAGGTGCGGCACTGCACGGGGGGGTATGAGGCGCTCCCCGGATTTGCGATTGGTCAACT